CAGGCGTGTCAGGTCTCAAAACACCTTCCAAGAAGAAACATTATAAAACGAAAGGAATTCCTCCGTGGCCGGAATTCACCTGTGCACAGAAGTCCATCAAAAGGCCTACTGCGAATGCACAAAGAATCAATGAACTTCTACGAGAGAATGGCTGATTTTCCGCTGGATTCCACGGCGTGTTCTCCAGGGTCTCTTTTCTAAGGAACATGACTCCCAAACAGAAGCTGCTGCCTATTCCCCCGCTCCCCTCTACATGCAATTTTATCTCGCACAAGCCAACAGAAATCGGAGAGAATTCCCTGCAATTGGCAAAGGGATTGCAAAAGAGCCACCGGAGAAAATTTGGTTTGTAAACTTAGGAAACTAGTTACAAGTCTTGTTAATGGGCTCCAGCCACACACATACACCCCACCCCCCTCACCAAGCAGAATAATCTAGCAGCTTGGGAGTCAGGGGAACTAAATTCTTTTTCACCAGGTCTGCCACTGGCCTACTCTGTGGCCTTGATCCAGTCTCTTTCCCCTGCCAGGCTGTGGTTTTCCCTCCCATTTTGTGTCTCGTCAGTTTCTATAGCACCTTAATGAAAGGGAGAGCTTCCGGACACGAATGTAACAAAAAAATAATAAATCAGACTGAGCTCGTTTGCAGGAACAGAGGTTCGTTAGTAAAAGCAGAATCCTGTTGGGTGCAGCAAAGATCTCCACAAGACTCTTCGTGCTCTTTTTTGTTTTTGTTTTTTAAAAACCCTCCGGTGTTCTCCATTTGCATTTTATTCCCCCAGATCCCAGCAGTTATTACAGAATAACATCACCTGCCAAACATCATTTGTCAAAATCAAAGCCATTATAAAAAGTTGCAGGTTTAAAAGAGTCAGAGGAAACATTCCCAGAACTAAAAGGAAGAGTTGGGTTTTGGTTTTGTTTTAAAAACCAAGAACAAAAAAACCAGCACAATGGGTTGTTTTTGGTGCTTAAGCAATGAAATAATTTAGAATAAACCGAAACAAATTGTAAATGGTTTGGGCCAAATCTCTCTGCTTGCGTGCACAGGTTAGACTCAGAGTTGTGACCACTTCTACTGGGAGAGAAGTTGCCCAACATGTAGAAGTTACTCAAGACATTTTGCCGTTACACACACAGTGGTTTGAGCATTGGCCTGCTAAACACAGGGTTGTGAGTTCAATCTTTCAGGGAGCCATTTAGAGATCTGGGGCAAATCTGTCAGGGATAGTACTTGGTCCTGTTGTGAGGGCCAGGGACTGGATTCAATGACCTCTCAAGGTCCCTTCCAGCTCTAGGAGATGGTATATCTCCATATATTTATAAAGACATTTGTATTCAGTGTAATATCAAAATACCCCCAGTGTTCCCTGTAAACTGTGCACTTGTGCAGCCACTCAGGAAACAGTCAAATGTCACACTTCTGATGAGCTGAGCTCCCACCGCTAGGTTCTTTGTTTCTACTGGTGGTGCACTTTTGCACATGGCTTGGTGCATATACAATTATTCTGCACATGAATGGAAAATATGCGCACATGGACAGGAAAGATTAGCAGGAACATTGCACATAAGTGCTGTAATCCAGCCGATCAAAGGTATGGGTCCACAAATCCGGCTGAAAGCTATGTCCCCAGTTCTATCACCGACTCACCGCTTACTTTTGTTAACTCAGTTTCCCCACCTGGAAAACAAGATGAATGCTGCTTCGCCCCACCATTTTACAGCCCCCCGAGATGAAAGAGTGAAAAGCAAGATAAGTAGTCAACATAAATGCATACCTCTAAGCTCTGGCATATATTGCATTTACACTGAACCTAACATTAAGTGGCTGGACTCTGGCAAATGACGTGAACTCCCAGTCTTCAAAGAAAACATGTAAGAAAATAATCTTAGAGGCCTGAGTAGGATATGTTACATGGAAAGTGTCTCAGAAATACTTATCGTTATAATAGTACTTAGCACTTACGCAGTGCTTCACAGCCTCCAAGCGCTGTACAAACATTAGCTTCTTAATCACTCATTAGGGATGATCCCATACAGCACTGTCGTGGCTCATTGAGTAAAGTCATCCCCAACTCGCAGAATTGCTTCTCCTCTCACGCGCCACATTCTAGAGAGCAGAGACATTTAAAGGTTCCACAGGAAGCATACAGGAAAGTTTGGTACAAGCGGGGTGGCTCCGATCAAGCTCCAACGCCCAGAGACACGTGCTTCCCCACCCTCTTCTTCACATTTTCGATTTGGAAGCAGAGGGTACCAGCCCCATCGCCGAACCTCCTGCCTGGAGAGTCTCCAGGGAAACTGTGAATGCCTCTGAGGATGATTGCAAAAAGGGAGGGGGCTAGACGGGGCGTGATGGCACCTAGGTAGTAGATTATTCCCACAGTAAAAGAACTAGGGGTCACCAAATGAAATGAATGGGCAGGATACAGTCAACCTGTGGAACTCCTCGCCAGAGGATGCGGTGAAGGCTAGAGCTTTAATAGGGTTCAAAAAAGAGCTAGTTACATTCATGGAGGTTAGGTCCATCAATGGCTATTAGCCAAGATGGGTAGGAATGGTGCCCCTAGCCTCTGTTTCTCTGGAAGTGGGAGACAGGGGAGTGATCACATGAGGATTACCTGTTGTCTTCCCTCCCTTTGGGGCATCTACACTGTTGGCCAACAGGACACTGGACTAGATGGACCTTTGGTCTGACCCTGTGTGGCCGTTCTTCACCAATTACAGAAAGAGGCTGCAGAACTGCAGTTTATCTACAGATTTGACACTGTTATCCTGGGCTTAAAACAAAGATATTAACTGGTTGGCACATCACAAAGACAATTTCTCCTGCTATTAATATCTGCATTTTCACATCAAAAGCCATGTATGGGATTCATCCAGTCCACTTAATTAGTGTAATTAACATGGGTCAATTTTATATCTGTATAATATACTTCCATTATTTCCACTCCAATTCATCTGAGGAAGTGGGTTTTGCCCATGAAAGCTCATGATTCTATATATTTTGGTAAGTCTCTAAGGTGTCATGGGATCACTCGTTTTTAAAGCTGCAGACTCACACGGAAACCCCACCGAGATTTCATAAACAAAATCACTCGTCATCACGAGGCCATACCTCTGCCTCCAAAACCGTTTGATGCCCATTTATTTCAGCATCCATTTTGTCCAGGTCATAGTCCCCTTCATCCACATGGTCATGGTGGGGATCAATTATGTAAGAGCTATTGGATCAACCCCATCTCCAGTCACTGTAACGAACCCATTCGTTTTACGGTGCAAGCCAACAGACATTGTAGGTAGGCAGCGCATCCCGCCCCGCACGCCGCCGCTAATGTCACCAACCGCAGATGTTTTCCGTGCTTATGATCTCGAACCAAATAAAATTTTGATTCTCCCAACCCTTAAAGAAAGGAGATTGATTAGCTTATGACGTGCAAGAAGGTGGAGAAGTCGTGAATGAAAGATCAGGAGGCATGTGGGCAGATGGGAACGAAGTAGGAAGCAGAAACCTAAGTGGGTGATAAAAATATTAGGGAGTTTAAAGAGGAGGAGGAAATGAGAAATCTGGAAAGAAGCCATATTTGAGTGTCAGGGAGCAAAAATCAATCAGCCTGCAGTGAGGTTACACCAGGGATGACGAGGCCCCAGACGGGAAAGTTAGACTAAAAAGTGCTATCCTGTAAGATGCTTTGATGTTCATGGCACATCATGTGTTTCTCATAGCTGCCTCCCACTTGGAAGCAGAGATGAGTGTTAGTGAAACTTTTATACAGAGGATTGTCCGGGGCTCTACTTCAGCTTCTGTCTGGCCTCATATGAACGCGTGCTCAGCCTTTGCATTATGCCCAAAGATCAGCCAGACGCACCTCTGCATTTCCCTCGCAAGGGTGCCCGAGACGGTTACACATGACTCATGAGTGGGGATACCCAAATGGAGACACATAAGGGGGCCTGGTTTCCAGAAGGCTGGTGCTCAGGACTTTTTGGAAGCTCGGGACCCTTTACGGTGTTACAAATTGGTCACCTTAAACACAAAAGGCTCCCAAAAATCACCTCAACTTCTACGGTGTTACAAATTGGTCACCTTAAAAACAAAAGGCTCCCAAAAATCACTTCTCAACTTTTGACATTCCAACACCACTGGGTCAAGTTCTGCTCTGCTACAGGATGGAAATCATAGAATCACACAACACTAGAACTGGAAGGGACCTCGAGGGGTCATCAAGTCCAGTCCCCTGCCCTCACGGCAGGACCAAGCACCGTCTGGACCATCCCTGACAGGTGTCTGTCCAACCTGCTCTTCAATATCTCCAGATATCTCCACAATCCCCCGAGGCAATTTATTCCAGTGTTTAACCACCTTGACAAGCAGGAAGTTTTTCCTGTTGTCCAACCTAAACCTCCCTTGCTACATTTTAAGCCCATTGCTTCTTGTCCTGTCCTCCGTGCCCAAGGAGAACAATTTTTCTCCCTCCTCCTTGTAACACACTTTTAAATACTCGAAAACCACTATCATGTCCCCTTTCAGACTTCTCCTTTCTAAACTAAACAAGTCCAGTTCTTTCAGTCTTCCCTCACAGCTCATGTTCTCTAGACCTTGAATCATTTTTTGTTGCTCTTCTCTGGACCTTCTCCAATTTCTCCACATCTTTCTTGAAATGTGGTGCCCAGAACTGGACACAATCCTCCAACTGGGGCCTAATCAGCACAGAGTAGAGCGGAAGAATGACTTTTTGAGTCTTGAATCTTATCCAGACAGAAATAGTTGGGTTTCGACTCTCACAACCGAGATGTGAATTTGTCCTTTGACGTTTAGAAAGGTACCAAGTGTAGTCAGGAGGACTTCCACTGGTTGACAAAGCATCTAGTCCTCCACAAAGAGGACACCCATCAACAACGAAAACGTATCGAGGGATAAGGGTGGAAAATACACCAGATTAGGGCTACTCCTCCAAACGCTGCCCAGCGAAGGCTTCCAGAAACCTGAGACGTTCTTACCTTCATCCTGGTTATCCGATGCAAGCGACGTATCTGACCCAGGGATAAAATTCCAGCTCTGGTTGTCATCATAGCTGCCCTGTCCAAAGCAAGCATCACCCTGATCCGCCCCTGGAAAGAGAAAAGAAAAGGGAAAGACGTGAACTGTTTTTAGTGGGAATGTAGCACACCCTGGTAGCTTTACCCCCAATTCCTATGGAAATTATTCCCTGCTGCTCCTAAATATCGTCTGGCCATCATGAAATTCCGAAGGACTCCAGATCACACTGGCCTCTGTGATACCTGCTGACATTTGCGGGGACTGTATGAAGGTGCATGCACTCCACAGGCTGAATAGGCCCCTAAAAGCATCCACATTGGATGCAAATGGCCCCAATACCTACACAACGTAACAGCAGTAAGCAGGATAGGTCTTCTAGACAAGACTGGGAGTAAAAGTACCCGATTTCCAGCCCCAGCTCTGCTACAGCCTCTTTTCCCGACATTTGGGAAAGTAAGTTTTCCCCCTTGTGTGTCTTGATTTCCCCCCCTCTGTAAAATGGGGATTGTAGCTTGTACCTCCCATGGTTGTTTAGCCCTCTTAGGCCTATCTAAGGGTATATGTCTACACTTGCACCCTCTTTCGAGAGAGGGATGCAAATAAAGAGATTCGAAATTGCAAATGAAGCCGGGATTTAAATATCCTGTGCTTCATTTGCATATTTACGTGATGGCTTTATTTCGAAATAACAGATGCTGTTAAGACGTGGTTATTTCGAGAGAAAACCCTTCTCTCGAAATAACTGGTAAACCTCGTACGAGGAATACGAGTTATTTTGAGAGAAGGGTTTTCTCTCGAAATAACCGCGTCTTAACAACGTCTGTTATTTCGAAATAGTGCCATAACGCGAATATGCAAACGAAGCTGGGATATTTAAATCCCAGCTTCATTTGCAATTTCGAATCTCTTTATTTGCTTCCCTTTCTTGAAAGAGGGTACAAGTGTAGACATACCCTAAAAGACTTTGGAATGTCTTTGAGAGGTGCTAGAACAACTAAACCCAGTCTAGATTTACCACCAGTACGGGCCGATTAGCGTATGCAAAGGAACTGTAGCCAAGTGTGTGTGTGGTTGTGCCACGGAGTGCTGGCAGGTTCGATTGTGCCCGAGTGGCTTCTCCACTGGGGCTTTGTAACTGCAGATGATCTTTTGGGGAGAGCTCTTAATGCGGCGAGCGCAAACCCAGCGGTGCAATTCATTCAACACGTGCCAAACAACGAAAAGGGGCTTTCAGCGGGTTTTAATAGAAGCACAAACACTCCATTGCTAAAAACAAACAAGACCATGAATGTTTCCCTCAGCAAACGCTGGAGAGAAACGTGCCCCAGGATTTGAAACCCACCATTTTAAAGCTAACCAATGAAAACAGCACCAAGTCTCCTCCGCCCCCTCCAAAGCAGTCGCTGTTGAAAGGAAAAATAAAAATCCGACTCAGCATTTACATGGCAGTTGGTAGAAGAATAATCCTCAAAAACCCGTAAGAGGCAAACCGTATCACAAACATGGTCATAGATGGGGAAACTGAGGCACAGAGAAATGAAGGCCAGAATTTTCCATAGAGCTCAACATTCAGGATCAGACTTTTCAAAGGGGTCCAGCTCCCTTTCAGATACCAGAATAAGAGGACAATTCCGGTCCCCTCCCCAAACAAAGCTTAGCATATTAGGTTCCGCGCTCTTGAGAATCTGATGCCAGTACAAATATTTATTCACTTTTACCACTGATGTGGAGAAACTGGAAAAAAAAGTTATTTACTTTTTCCCATAACACAAAATCTAAGGCAGTGTTTCTTAAACCTTTTTGAGACCACGGAACACCAAACAATTTTTTTTGATGCGGAACACCTATGAAAATTTTCGTCAAAAAAAAAAAAAAAAAATTGTCTGACAAAAAAAAGACAAACACAAAGAAGAGGTCGTGGCACACCTGCGAGTTGTTCACGGAACCCCAGTGTTCCGCAGAACATAGTTTAAGAAACACTGATCTAGGGGTCACCAAATGAAATTAACAGGCAGCTGGTTTAAAACAAACCAAAGGAAGTTTTTCTTCACTCAGCACACAGTCAACCTGTGGAACTCCTTGCCGGAGGATGTTGTGAAGACCAGGATTTTTACAGGGTTTAAAAAAGAGCTGGATACATTCATGGAGGTTAGGTCCATCAATGGCTATTAGCCAGGATGGGTAGGAATGGTATCCGTAGCGTCTGTTTGTCAGAGGCTGGGAATGGGCGACAGGGGGTGGATCACTTGATGATTTCCTATTCTGTTCACTCCCTCTGGGGCATCTGGCATCAGCCACTGGGCTAGATGGACCTTTGGTTTGACTCAGTCTGAACAGTTATGTTCTAATGGGCTTTTCCCATCTACTTAAAGGCATGAGAAAAGGCAACAGCTGAAATTTGAAGCTAGATAAATTCAGCCTGAAAAGAAGCAGTACGTTTTTAACAGCGGTAAATTAAGCACTACAATGCTTTACCAAGGATCGCGGGGGAGTCTTCATCACTGCAACTTTTAAATCAAGCCTGGATGTTTTTCTACGCTATGATCTAGTTTAAACCAGGGTTTCATTTGGGGAAGTTCTCTGGCTTGCACTGTGCAGACGTCCAGGTTCAGTGATCACAGGGCTCCTTTCTGGCCTGAGCAAAAAAATCTAGGCAAACCCGTTTCTGTTTCTATTTGCTACTAAGAGCTAGAAAGCAACATTCACTGGCCAGTGCTGCTTCCTTGACATCCCTTCTGCCAGTCCTCCTGCCATGTGTTTTCCGTGATCAAATAGTGGGGAGTGAACTCAATACAGGAACCTCCCCCCCCTCCAAAAAAAAGACCCTGTACAAGGATGTTGTCTTGCTTGTAGGATTTGCAGTATTTCTTGGGTCTGAGTGAGTAATGCTCTACGAGGGAGAAACTGCACAGCAGAAGGAGCAGCTCCCAGAACACAAATTTCTACAGGTTGCGGCTCTCTAGGCCGGCACCCTCGGGACCTGACTGGTGCCGAACCAGAGAATTTGCCGAACCAGGGCAGGTCAGTATGGTCTAGCAGCATGACCAACATTGCCACTGCTTCCTGGGCTCTTAGAAGACATTTGGGGTAAATTAGAGTTAAAGAACAGCACAGAACACAGAGCCAGGACTGGTGGCTGTCAACAAACTTGATGGGACCGCGGGAAACTTGGCCATATTGATGAACAGTGGATATCTGGCTGACTAACATCATGCCGGATCACGGAGGTTGCCGGTCCAGAGAGTGCTGGACTAAAGAGGTTCAGCCTGTAGATTGTTGTCCTTTCCCACACACCAATCACCAGCAGACAATAAAACAGAGGCGGTGCGGTTCATAGAATACTAGGACTGGAAGGGACCTCGAGAGGTCATCGAGTCCAGTCCCCTGCCCTCATGGCAGGACCAAATACTGTCTAGACCATCCCTGATAGACATTTATCCAACCTACTCTTCAATATCTCCAGAGATGGGGATTCCACAACCTCCCTGGGCAACTTATTCCAGTGTTTGACCACCCTGACAGGCAGGAACTTTTTCCTAATGTCCAACCTAAACCTCCCTTGCTGCAGTTTAAGCCCATTGCTTCTTGTTCTATCCTCAGAGGCCAAGATGAACAAGTTTTCTCCCTCCTCCTTATGACATCCTTTTAGATACCTGAAAATGGATATAATGTTCCCCCTCAGTCTTCTCTTTTCTAAACTAAACAAGCCCAGTTCTTTCAGCCTTCCTTCATAGGTCACGTTCTCTAGACCTTTCATCATTCTTGTTGCTCTTCTCTGGACCTTCTCCAATTTCTCCACATCTTTCTTGAAATGTGGTGCCCAGAACTGGACACAATACTCCAACTGAGGTCTAACCAGCACAGAGTAGAGCGGAAGAATGACTTCTCGTGTCTTGCTCACAACACACCTGTTAATGCATCCTAGAATCATGTTTGCTTTTTTTGCAGCAGCATCACACTGCTGACTCATATTCAGCTTGTGGTCCACTAGAACCCCTAGATCCCTTTCTGTCCCTTGGAGTCAAGAGACTGGATTCTATTTCTTTAAGTGACCTTCGATATGCATTCTGCACCCCCGCACTTGCCTAAGTACGTACAGCGCTTTGAAAGGCTGGGGTAAGAAGGCACCACAGATATTTGGGTGTTAAAAGACAACAAGTGAAAACACACCCGCTGTTGGGACACCGCACCACGCAGTTCTAGGCACAGCAGAACCGGGGAGAGTTTATTCCAACAGGAAATCTTAAACCCCTGCCACTCACGCTGCTGTGGAGACTCAGTGAATACGCCACTTTTAGAACAACAAGCTGCTGTCAAAAGACAGGTCCTTGCACCCATGCCCAAATACTGGGTTGAGTTGTTTTTTTAAAAGCCTTTTGAAACAAATACCAAGGTAACAGGTGTTTGCTTATAATGAGATACAGGTGCAGCATCATTGTGATAACGAGCAAACTGTTTATGGCTTGCAAATACCGAGAGGCAGTGGGAGCTAGTCTCGTTGGAAATGAACATACCATGCATCAGTGCAGCCACGCGCTTGCCAAAAAAAGTGGGGGGAGAAGGGGCCTTAATCCTGATGCTTACTCACAGGCATAGCCCCATAGAAACAAGGACTCACAGGCATAGCCCCACAGTACAAGGACCGCATGCGGGAGCCATGGGTCTGTCACCGGTTTTTTTTGCTTACCACTTAACTGATGTGTGTTGTATTGTGAGCTGTCCTATAGAGGTGGCATTGCTAGCCATGTGCCCCTCCATGTCACCGGCCCCAACAGCAACAGACACGGGAATTCCACGTGTGTGCAAGCAGGGCCATACAGCACAATGAGCCACTCACAAATGTGCGTGGGCTTCGATGGATGTACAGCCCCTACCGTAACGGGGTCCTGTCTGGTCGCTCGAGGCGACGAATACAGCCAACAAAGCCCGACGTGCCTTTCCTTTTTGTTTTTCCTCCTTTGCTATGCTCACCTCTTGTGTTGAGATTCACAAGAGAAAACACCACACACCACAGCACTGAGGGCTGGAGGGAGAGGGGAGTAGTTTAAGCCACTTCCTCTTCGGATTTGCA